CTTTCTGCAGTGAGTTGGTTTTAGTCAAGATAGCAATTAGTGTATCTTCATCAGATAACTGAAATCTATGCAAGTGTTCTCCAGAGGAAATTGTTACTGAATACTGTACTCATGATTGTATTTTAATTTTTTTTTATTTTGAGGTAAATAATGTCTCTGAAGTAGTGACTACAAAGCATAGTGTGGGAGCGCATAGGTGAATCCTTGTCGTCAACATTCAGACCAGATGTTATCTGCCTAGTTCTTTCAAGAGAACTGAGAGAGTTAGCCAGTAAGCTCACAGTTGGTTTTCATGGATGTGGGTTAAATCTCAGTGCTTGCAAGTGAGAACATTTTGGCCGAAACAAATCTCTGTCTTAAATTTTGTTCTGCCATTCGCCATTGTGCTGTCCGTCACTTGGAAGGCGGAGTTTAGACTGCAAAAAGGCTATGCTGTGTATAAATTCTGAACAGACTGCAGAATTTTACTGCCTGGAGAAAATGCCACTTTTCTGGTATTAACAGTTTTGTTCACATTGAATTGCTAGATTCTGTGTTCTCTGAAATTACTGCATCATATGGAAGAATCTCAGCCATGTAAAACAATGAATGTCAGCTTTTTTTCAGAGAAGACTTAGACTGTAGTGGGCACTAGGGCTGCCTTAACACAAAATGCAGCTTGTAGCCCTTAAAGCTGGGATTCGGAGGCTCCCTTTTCAGTCAAACTCCCATAGGGGCATACCCTACCCATCTAATTTTTTCCAGTAAAAAGGGAATCCTGCTATCCAGGTGTTTTTTATTAAGCCTTGAAACTTCCATTTTAATGCTTTTTGAGAGAATTGTTATCTATTTACCCTGAGCCCTGTTTTCATTTGAGCTGTTCACCTAATGGCAATGTTCTTTTTCCAAATGTTAGATTACAACAAAGATGAACATGCCGCCCCGAGGCACATTTGCTAGTGCAGGAACCCCAACTGTGGAAGAACTGAAAACTTACACTCTGCAGCTGGGAGACCTAAGCCAAGAAGCAAATGTGGTGCATGCACAGGTAAAAATGGCATGTCCTAGCAGTGCAAAAAAGCCCGGCGATTCTAGCTGTAAAACACTGCTTGGGCACAGGGAAACATAGTCAATAATTATCGCACATGGTGTTGACTGTAGTGTAGCTTTTCCATCAGGTATGGAGTATAATGTAGAAAACCACTGGATTTTGAGAGGAAACATTTCAGGTTTCAGCTATGACACTTCCTTGAACCCAAAGATTTGCTAGGGCGGATAAAACAATTCCAAATGTATAAAGCAAGGAGGCTGGGAATTATTTCAGTGAATCTGCAGCGTTGGAGCTGACGAGACAAATGGTGTTGTGCCCATTCCGGAGAGTAGAGACCTGTAAGACCACAGCCACTCCCAACACACAAGGGGTCACTGTCTCAGCCTTGGCCTTCGCAGCTCTGAATATTACATGCAGATAACTCTCTCATCCAAGTCTGTCCCTCAGTATTCATTAGTTCCATTTTGTTATTAGCTGACTGAACCTCTCGCCTTATACAAGGGAACAAATCTTAGCCATGCCTTGGGTGAAAGTACTGAACACTTCTGACTTGTCTTTACCCAGGATAATGGGGCAGAGGAATTCTCTTCCAGTTTGGACAGAAAATTGTTTGAGCTGCTTCTGGCAATCAGCCGATGTTTGAATAACATGGAGGAGATGCTGAACACCGCAGTCCTCTCCACTGAAGAGGCAGCTATACAGCAGGCTCTTTTTGAGGTAACTGTTCTAAAGCATCCAGGGAAGGAAATCCCAGTGGATTTCTTTTACAACAGAATATATATGGCCTGATATTTCCTCTCTGTTTTGCTGGCATTATTCAGGAATAACACTACCAAACTGTGTGGTGTTGCACAGGTTTGGGCCTATTGCTTTTAACAACAATTATCAACTTGAGTCATTGCTGCCTTTTACAGGCAAGAGTCCGTGGACAGAGACCATTTTCACTCATATTATTTCTTTCAACCCTTTAGACTCTTTCTGTCGAGCTGCAAAAACTTCACGCTGATATGAGTGATAAAAAGGATGATCTTCTGAAGTCTGTTAGCTGCACTGGCAGGAGCATAGATGTGTTCTTCGAGTGCTTTAACAACTTGCAGGTGCGGCTGGAACAAACTCAAGCTGCCACTGTTTCAAGGAGCAACTCAATGAAAGCTGGACTGGATCATAATAGCAATTATCAGGTACTCCACTGCCAAATGTGTATCTTGTTTCACAGCATCTGTTAAACTTGTCGGTGTTAATGCATTTGGGTTACAGATGAGCAATCTATAATGGGCTTTTTTTTGCTACTAAAACAAACTTGTCTTGGCCTCTCAAGAAGCAAATTAGTTCTGCTGTGTACAGGGCTTTTTGCAGTGCTGACTGCCATAGAGGCCTTGATCACGGTAGAAAATGTGCATGCAGAAAAGATGGAAGTGCCCTGGGATCCCATGCATGCTGTGCTACAGGCTAAAGCAAGTTTCTGTGTGTAGGGATTAGGCTAGAAGGGTTTTGTATATTCTTTCTGCTGATGTGTGCACTCAGGAGAGGCAGGCTTCTTCCCTTTTGGTGCCATGCCTGGCACTGGGCTGCTTTTAGCTATGTATTGGAGGTTAATTTGACCCTTTTGTATTTACTGTTCCCTTAGATTTAGCACCACGGTAGTAGAAGCCATAGTTTTGCAAATTTGCATTTTTTTGTTCTTTTTTGGAAAAGGAGATAATGAGAAACTTTTCTATAGGTTTTCTTGATGGGCTAAATCTACTAGCTAGTGCTGGGAAATATTTGTGTCAGGTATTTAGGCTGAAGTAAGGAGAGAAAAACCTGATCTTTGAAATACAGTTTCCAATGTCCAGCAAAACTCCACTGTGCTCATCGTTTGCAAGTCAGCCTAGCTCTTTACTGTTGTATAATAAAGCAGTTCCTTTGAAGAACACTGGGATGTTGTCTCCAAACAGTAGCAGGACTAGTCTTGCAATGTTTACTTAAGCAGAATCCACGGACCTTCATCAGTTGCCAGTAATGGGCTCATTTTCAGAAGAGAAGAATTTGTTTCTCTGTAAATTTCATAGATTTTTACAGTCACAGAGGATCATTTTGACAGAGTAATGTGCTTTCGTACACAACACAGACTACAAAATTCTCTCTAAATCACTGCTTTAAGCCCATAATGAACATGCTTTTTTTTTTTTTTTTAAAAAAAAAGAGGACAAAAGTACTTTTGCCATAAGAAGTAACCATTTTGTTTGCTGTCTAATTTGGTCTGGTTATTACTATATTCCTGATACGTGATGTACTTCTGATGTTTGTTTCTTTCGTAGAATGAAATCAGGCTGCTCTATGGTCAGTTAACTGGGAAAAAAGCCGCTCTGCAACACTACTTGAAAGCATTACATGGACATAATGTTTCTGAACAACTACAGGTAATTTCATCCGAAGGAAAGGAAAAACTCTCCACATTAGCTATTATTTCCAGTTTTCTGCAATCTCTTTAGCTGTTCCAATTTTCTTAGGTTTGAGTCTCACTTAAGTTTTGAGAATGCAGGAAGGAGAGAGTTCAGTAGTTGCCACCCCTTTTGGTTTTGTTGGTATTTTACTACACACCAATCCATATTCAGACCTAATTCCAGTCCTTTTAGTGGTTGGAGTGGAAGAACCAGTCTTTCCACAACCTCTCAGAGCAAATACACCCCACACTATGGCAGGGAAGAAAAAGCTGCACAAAATACAGCACTTCACCCATTATGCATTCTTATATGCATAACTAGCTTTTCTTTGTGGCAATAGGACTCCAGTATTTGTATCTACTCATTCAGCATTTAGGAGCACTTGATCCTATGGCATTTGACCAGTTAAGCCTTTTTTTGGGTTGGTTTTTTTTTTTTTCAACATTCATAGGGATTAGCAGAGAATTAAAAATGAATGGACTGCATATCCTCCCCAGAATGGTCATTGGCCATCTACCTACTACCTGCGGGGGAAGCAATGAGGGTGTCCCGAAACTTGTTGTTGCAGGCTCATAGCCTTGTTACAGGCATAATTTTCTGCCAGGCTGAAAGCTGTGTTCAGAACTGCTGAATCCCCTAGCAGGGACTGCTGTCTTGGATGTATTCTGTCCAGTAACCACCCTTTGGAAAAGGAATGCCAGAACAACACAGCTTCCCTACCTTCAGAAAGAACCTGCCTCAATCTCCCTGACTGAGTCTTTCTACTCCATAAGAAAAATGGTATTTTCTGAGTCCATGGTTCCTTTTAATGGCTACTCTTGAATTAGTAAACTGAAATGCACGTTGAATGTTGGACTGAGACACAAGACCTGAATTCCCTTCCTGGCTGTGCCATGTGAACCCAGTAAGCTGTGTCAGGAACAGTCTTGTCTGTTTAGCTTATAAGCTCATTGGAGCTCGGGGTCTGACTGTGAGCTTATGCAGTACTAGCACAGCAGAGATCCAGCCCATGGATCAGCTGCACTGCTAGTGATAATAGAAAGTTTAATGGAACAGGACTCTTCCTAACAGCTTATTTTGTCCTTAATTCAGAAAATTGATGCCTATGTTTTGGAGCTGAACGACTTGGAAAACCAAGTAGCAAAACTGAGAGGCCATGGGGAGAGATTTCAGTTACCTATCACCTTAATCCAGGAAGCTTATAAATTAGAGGTAAGAGCACAGTTTCCTCTTACTCAGCAAGGTTTGATTCTTCTTCTACGCAAAATATTTTTATCAGCAAAAAGACATTGGTTATTTTGCATTCTGGGAAGGTGTATGCGGGTTTGTAGGATTCCTTTCTGCCCTTCATGAAGCACTAAACTGTGTTTACATTGTAGGATCTTTTGGATGACATGTGGGGGATTCTGAAGGCAAAGTATGTGGAACTGAACCCTCCTTCCATCAGTGAAAGCCAGTATGAGGTCTTACTTAATGGATTTGAAGAGTTGGTAGCTATTGGACAAGAGAAGATTACACAAGATGCAAAGCAGCTGACAAAGAGCAGAGCAGCTCTACAGTCTCACCTGAAAAATCACAAGGTATAAGATGCTTATCACAGCACTGCTCAGATCAACATAGCAGGAGCACTCTTTTCTGTGTCTGGTTTCTGTTCTGCGTTATGGAGAAGACTAACTAGCTCATCGCATAGGGGAAGGACTAGAGTACATGCAGAAAACAAAGCAGTTTTTCAGTAGACCAAAATAGGGCCCACTAAAATGAGAGGTTCTTACAACTGCAGTTTTGGTGATAAATGCACATCAGGATTTCAGTTTTGTCAGTGTAATATTACTTTGGCTTACCTTAGAACATAGTGATATCCGAAGAAAAGGCATGTCCTTCTAGTTACTGGTTAATAAAACAGCAGTGGGGTTTCTGAAGTTGGTGTGCAGCAACTGGGAGTTGAGCCTTTGCTTTCAACATTCAGTGCCATCATGATCTGATGGAGGAAACTTACCCATAACAGCTCCTTTTCCAACGGGAGGATAGTTTAGATCCTCTCCTTGGCAGCCCAGTGTCCCCTGTATCCAACTGCTACGTGCTTGATGGGAGATGGCTGAGAATGCACCTTGATCCTTACTGTCCTGCCACTGGGCAAGAAGCCCTGGCCAACACTCGTCACTGGAAGATGTCTCTGCCATGTCAGTGCCTTGATTGAACTGCTTCACATAGCTCAAACTTCCTTAATAATTGCTTCAGGATGCCAAGCACTGTAAACCACTACTCCAGTGTCATAGGAATTGTGCTTGTTACTCGCAAATTGCCCTTAGCAAAGCAAAATTATAGGTATTTATTTACAAAGGAAAACAAACAATGTGTCTGCGTTCCAAATATACAAACATTGATGTACAGAAGCAAAAGGAAAGTATAAAAGCCATTTTCCCTGCCCTGGTTATCCAGACTTACCAGGATGCTCACATGGCCTATGACTGGGCTACTGTCCTTAAGTGAAAGTCTTGTACTAGTTATTAGTTCTTCATGAAGATCTTGGTTGAAGAGCGTGATCTTAAACCCTCATAGCTTTTTTGTGAGGAAAAGTGTTCTGTGGAGATTCAGATGTTTCCCAAGAGCTCAGCTGAGCCATAAATAAATCAAACTGTTATCCAGTTATCCCAAAGGATTACATACTACTTAGGATTTAGAAGTGCTAATACCCTTGGTGCTTGGAGTCACCTCCCATCCAGGTGCCACAAACTGGATAATGGCTGTCTGGTAGTAACTACCTCATGCTAAACTATGAATTTATTTATCATTAAACTTTTCCTTCCATCGTTTTCCTGCAACATCTTTGTATTTCTGATGAACTGAAGGTATAAATGTCCATCTTTTTCTTTAGAAATGTATAAATGAAAATAGTGTATGCCAGGGGAGGTTTAGACTGGACATTAGGAAGCATTTCTTTACTGAGAGGGTGGTCAGACACTGGAACAGGCTTCCTGGAGCAGAGGTGGATGCCCCAAGCCTGTCAGTGTTTAAGAGGGTTTTGTACAATGCCCTTAACAACGTGCTTTAACTTGTGCCTGAAATTGTCAGGCAGTTGAGCTTCATGATCATTTTAGGTCCCTGCCAACAGAAAATATTCTATGCCCTGCTATGCTGTGCTGTGCTATGCTATTGCTGGTTCTTAACTAACTGTTTCATGATCATGTAAAATGAACTGCCTCTCTTGGGGTGATGGAGAATTTGTGTAGAAGGCTCCTGACTCCAGCTGTGAGCTGATACTGACCGTTCTTC